TCGATTCAAGGCAAGACTAGTTGTCAAGGGTTGTAGTCAAAAACCTGGAACCGACTTCAATGAGACATATTCGCCAGTGACACGGTTTGATTCAATTCGTTTGCTAATATCTCTTGCAACTGAAAAAGAATATGAGATGATTCAGTTTGACGTTCAGACAGCCTTCTTATACGGTGATTTGAAAGAAGATATTTATATGTTACAACCGGAAGGTTTCGACGATGGTAGCGGAAGAGTATGCAAGTTATTACGTAGCTTATACGGACTGAAGCAATCACCTTTACAGTGGCACAGGAAGATTGATACCGTTTTAGCGGAATTAAATATGCGGCCGACAGACTATAATCCATGTATCTATGTTAATAACGAAAAGGATCTGCTATTAGGATTGTATGTAGATGATGGTCTGATAGTTGGCGCATCTATGAACAAAATAAACAAGCTACTATTACTACTCAAAAATTGTTTCAAAATTACGCATGGTGAAGCGAAGTTTTTACTCATAAACGTTATCATTTGTACATTACTTTTCATATAGTTAAGATGTGTATAATCTGACTTGCAAATTTAGTGAATAATTATCTTCTTTTATAATGTAAGTGTTCAATTTTTGGTTTGTTTTTGCAGTTGTTTCATTGTCAATTTTTTTGATTTATACAGTTTCAACCTACATATAGAATTTGATGACTTGATATCCATATATGGGCTCTGTGCTCTTTAATTTTGACTAACGGATTGGAAATTTCATGGGATTAATCTTTCTCGCATATAAACGAAGAATGGATTATAACAGGTTTTTTCATCGTTTAAGTAAATTGACTACCGCCATCGAATATTGGAGCGATTGTATTGTTATATGAAAGTTTGCGACTGTTGAGGATTTAATTTTTATATTTATTAGAGAATTTACAATGTTTTATAATTTTTATTTGTTCTATGTTAATAACGAAAAGGATCTGCTATTGGGATTGTATGTGGATGATGGTCTGATAGTTGGCGCATCTATGAACAAAATAAACAAGCTACTATTACTACTCACAAATCGTTTCAAAATAACGCATGATGAAGCGAAATTTTATCTAGGACTTAAAATCAATCGTGATCGTCTCAATAAACTTACACGAGTACATCAAACGGCATACACTATGAGAATACTTCAAAAATTCATCATGGCAACTTGTAACTGCGTTAGCACCCCTATGGAAACGCAAATTGTACTGAAACGAGAACCTGAAGAGGAAGGTGATTTCATCGAGGATGAAGGTTTCCCATATCGTCAATTAATTGGCTCGCTAATATTTCTGGCAAATGGATCAAGACCAGATATTTCATTTGCAGTAAGTAGACTTAGCCAATTTTTGGTGTCACCTACAACTACACACAAGTCAGCAGCAAAACGCGTACTTAAATATTTGAAAGGCACAACAAATCTCGGTTTAATTTACGGTACGGAGATTAATGAAGATAAACAGCTGCAAGCTTTTTCAAACGCAGATTACGCATCTTGTGTAGACACACGAAAGTCAGTCTCCGGTGTTTTGTTGATGCTAAACGGCGGACCTATCATTTGGTCATCTAGAAAGCAAGGAGTAATTGCTACGTCAACTACGGACGCAGAGAATATATCGCGGCTCATGATGCATCTAAGGAGGTCGTATGGACTCGTGGATTACTGCAACAGATTGGATACGAGCAGTTCGGACCGACGATTCTTTACTGTGACAATACAGCTGCTGAAACTCTAATTAAGAATCTGACTTTTCACAGGAGGACCAAACACGTGGACATCAAATACCACTACGTACGAGACGTCGTAAAGAAAGGTCATCTAGAGGTCAAACATGTGGCCAGCAACGAGCAAAGAGCGGATCTTCTAACGAAGCCTCTTGCAAAGCAAAAACTTCAGACAAATCTGGAGCTCCTGAACATGATTCCACAGTGAACTCGTCTAGTGGGAGTGTTGGAGATAGTGCGCCTCGGTCACTGTTGGATGGCTCTTGCATTCGAGTCTGTTATTTTTTAGTTTCTATAGTTTCCTCTCTACGCCATCTACCTACTAGACCTCTTGTTCTTTGTTAGATACGGGCAACTACTACGCGGGAAACCAAGACTCGTGTATCGTAGTTGTACAAGACATTATTATCTCATTTATATTAATCTGTGTAATAGACTACATTTTTACGTTATTTTGTACCAGTGATTCGATTATATTAAATCTGCAGGAATTTAACTCAGAATACACATCACAGTTATTAACCTGATTCCACGTACCCCGCGACAGTTGTTAATATCATAAAATTTTAATTACTTGATGTACTTAACAAATACGACGCCGTGAAAATGACAGGATAACGTCATGTTCGGTTATAAATATAAATAATCGCCTTTGTTAAGTACATCAAGTAATTAGAATTTTATGATATTAACCATATTGGTAAATTTCGTTCCATGGTTTTAAGATTCAACATGTGATTTGTGAGAATACATCGTAACATCCAATCAGTCAATTTGATGTTGACATGTCTCACAAATAGATTACTATTATAATTAATTTAAAATTATACTGAAGATGACTCAATAAGAGTCGAAACATATACATTATATATTGATCATTATTGAATAAAGGATACTTGTATGAATTCAGATTATTCAAAAAACAAAAAGTTCATTAAATTTGCGTACCAATAACAACGCTGCACTCTCATCCGTCCTAGAGGACCGTACTGTTTTTGAACAATAAGAGTCCGTTGAAGAGATCTTATTTTGTAATAGTCTACATAGTTAATATACATATATCATATGTGTGAAATATGCAGAATTAAAGATGCTCTGAATATAAAACTATGTACTTCCTGACAGTAATTTCAAAGTATATATTTGAGGTCGTACTGCATCCTCGTCTCTAGCACACTTACACAAATTAAAATATGTATCAAATTAAAATATGTAATTAAAATATGGTCTTCCTAAAATTCGTAAAATCAATTTTCCTTTTCGACTTATTGTTTCTTCGATTAATACGGTTTTATATGGGATATCAACTATGCTACATAACATTATTTCAAAAAGCTTAACTTATGATAGTAAATATATTAAAAACAGTTTCGATTTATTTAAAAAATTGGAGGGCAAACGGATTAATGATTCAGACGTATTGATTTCCGTAGATGTTGTTTCGATGTTCACTAATATTCTTCTGGATCTTGCTATTGATAGTATAAAGAAAAGAATGGCAAACAATCATGACTAAAACTAAGATTTCTTTAGAAGAATTTATCAAAACTATCAATTTTATTTTTGATTCGACATACTTTGTTTTTAACAACAAAATATACAACAAGTGTATGGGGTCACCATTATCTCCCATCATAGCACATATTGTCATGCAAGACTTAGAGGAAAAAGCGTTAAATATTTTGCAACTAAACAATTTGTTTTATTTTCGATACGTGAATGATATTATCATGACGGTACACAAAGATTCAATTGACACAGTTTTGGAAACATTTAATAGTATACATAATAGATTGCAATTTACTTTCGAAATTGAAAAAAACAAATCTTTACATTATTTAGATTTAAACATTAACATTGACAACAACATTTTAAAAATAGATTGGTATCATAAAGATACTTTCTCTGGATGATATCTATCATTTTTCTCAAATCATCCTTTAGCACATAAAATAGGTGTTATTTATGGCATGGTTGATAGAGCATTATTGCTGTCTAATCCAGAATTTCATATTAAGAACATTGAGTTTTGTATCACTACATTATTAAATAACAATTATCCCTTACATCTTATATTCAGTAAAATACAAAAAAGAATTGATCATTTATTAAATTATAAATTACATACATCACAAAATAAAAACCAAATTACACATTGTAAACCTCTCAATAAGAAACTTTTTGTATTACCTTATATTCAGAAAGTTACGAATTCTATTACTGGTAGCTTAAACAAAGATGTATTTACCATAGGAATTAGAAGCATCAATAAACTTAATAAAATTATTAAAGTTCATAAAGACAACACAGAAAAGATACAAAAGAATAATGTAGTTTACAAAGTAGATTGTAATCATTGCGATGCGTCATATGTAGGACAAACGAAAAGGAAATTGATCACGAGAATAAAAGAACATAAATATAATATTGAAAGAAATCCAGCAAGACTTTCAGTTTTATCGGAACATTGCAATCGATTTGGACATACGTTTGATTGGAATAATATACGTATTATGGACGTTGAATCTCATTATAATAAAAGATTGATTTCTGAGATGTTATTCATCAAAGAACAGAAAAATGGAATTAACGCACAAAAAGATACTTAAAAATTAGCAAAACTTATGATCATTTGCTTAGGTCATTACCCTCAGAATAATATATATACATTATACGTTATGTCAAACATAAAAGTTCGTTTTCTTTTATTCTTGTGACAACTGTCGTTCAGTACAGACCATTTTCCACTTTACATTGTTTCACTTGAAGGATGAAAATTATACATAGCATCTAATTTTCCGTAAGTTTAATAGTTCCATTTTAATTTATAATTTTAAAATTGTTTCCTTATATGTAATAATATGGATTTAGAATTACAATGCGGATAATTTTCTTTGTTCGGATTGAGAAACAATATTCATTTACTTGCTGATTCGATGGACTATAGTTTGAAAGATTAACCGTACTTCGTTTATTTGTCATGTATCATTTATAAAGGAGACTAAAGAGGACTTATGTATAAGTTGAAACGTTTCTCATTTTAATTATGGAATATTTTAATAAAAATTGTCATCTTTTAATTTGTTGGCTTGTTTTAATACCGTAATTTTAATATCATTATTTTAGTTGTTTTTAAAATATGTAGTTTCGTTACACAAAGAAAAATTATACATATTATGAAGATGTCGATAAAATTTATATTAACCTTCCTCTTATAAAAGCCAATACATTTTAACCGCAGTTAATGCATTTAAAAACAATTTTAGCACTTTCGACGAAAATGCAAAATACCAAGAGAAATATAAAGGTCCCATCCGTGAGAATACAGTATTAACGGTAGATTCTAAAAATGGTAATATTATTCGCGGTTGGGGAAATCAAACATTTTACTTACCGCACGGAATTCACGCCGATCCTTTTGGAAACATATGGCTGACTGATATTGCTCTCCATCAAGTATTTAAGGTATGTAAAGAAATTCTCATTAAAAATACAAATAGTTTCTATATTATAATTAGTAAATAATAAAAAAAGGTAAAAAAAGGAATCATACATATATCTTCCGTAACAGCAAAGTCTGCGGACACAGATTTTGAGCAAAACCTACTATCAATTTTTGATTGCAGAAAGGCAACAAATTGTATACAGAGTTTGCATTATCTGACATTATGAGCAAATTGCTGTCAGAAATATGACAAAGTTTGCTAGACATGCTATGCCAGCAGATCGATGGTAGAAAACAAAACAAAAGTCTTGCATAACCTGATAGTAGATTGAGAGTAGAACCTGATTCGAGCAGACTTTGCTTAGTTTCTGCCACCAATCTGCTGACATAACAAATGTGGACACAGATGGCTATGATTTTGTAGTCAAAACCTGATCGAGTTTGCTATCAATTTGGTCCCAAATTGCTAACATTTTGCTATTATGATTGTTCTAAAGTAAATGAATTGTTGTATTACGATAAAACATTATTTTAGATTATAAATATGTTTTCATTGTTATAGTAATTATCGGGGTTGGAAAGTAACACTGTTATTTGTAACGCTGTTGCAATTACTTTTTTTTGTAACATAATGCTAATGGCATTATTTTTTTTGTAATGGCAACATAGTCATGCTTTTTCAATAATAGTAACAATATAATTCGTTATTTTTATAGTTACTTTTTGTACTTTGAATCTATTTATAACATAATTTCCGTGATGTATTCAAGATTGAATATACAGGGTGTTCCAGAAAAAACGTTTGTCCTTAAAATAATGAATTCCTGAGGTGATTTTAAGACATTTTTTCCTTTGTCAAAATTTTATTCGAAGCATACATTTTGAATTATAAGCGAAAATAGCGAATTACGGGTCGCGTGTACGGAAGGAAGGCAGAGGCGGCACAACTCATCGGTCGACGCGGGCGCTCGATTGCAATCAACTGCTTGCTATCTATGAAACGCGTGTTACGATAATACGCGCGTATCTTCCCTCTCTCTAACGCGCGCATGCACGCGCGCACGCACGCACGCACACACGCACGCACGCACGCACACACGCACGCACGTACGCAGACACACACCTTGTAGGGATGTTTCGTACTGTAATGTAGCTGGGGAAAAAGGCAGAATACTATGTCTGTGAATTTCGACAAGATTTTCACACAAATCTAACACCAAATAATAACTTTACACAAATTCACTTACATTTTATCGATTTACTAACGAACTTATCAGTTTGTTATTATTAATCACTACCGATTAATTAATTAGCGATTGAGAATTAATCCAAGAAAGAAATAGATTACAATAATCAATAATCAAAGGCTTATTTCCTCTTTTTATAAATTATATCGCGTATCAATGCTTTCACGGATTTATTCACGCACTTGATTGATCTTTACATACGAATCTTTTACATACAAATCGATAAATCATTCCCGATTAATCGTATAATATTATTACACGCCTATAATATTACATGATTAGGAATAGAGTTACAAATTTTAAAATAAAACTCTTAAAGATCTCTTAGAACTTACTGACTTAAGACTGTAGTTTTAAATGTAATTCTGGAGCAGCCAAATTGTAGGGACATTGCAGTTCAATAAAAATCTCTGAATTTATTGAACAGAATCAAAAATCCTTTTACAACATTAAAGTAGACGCAAAATTGGATAGTGTTGAACTGAATTTTTTACTAAAATTGAAAAAAGTTAAAAATTTACATTTTTTCAATTCATAGAACTGTCATTTGACGTAAATGTTTCCTTAATATAAAAGTTTTACAGCTCGTATGGACCAAACGACAGTTCAGCGTATTACGTGAACAAACATTATTGAATTTATAGAACTGAGATTAAAAGTTCAAAACAAGATTTTTATTGAACTGCAAATTATGATATGTATTAATGCATCCAAGAATTAATTAGGACGCTTGCATGAAATATCAGAGATCCGGGTTTGATTCCCAACCGAGATAATATTTTTTACAATAAATTCTTTACAGATTTTAAGATATATGTAATTAAATTTGGGGGGATAATTAATTGATTAAAAAGATAAGTCAAATTATTAATATTTCAGATGGATTGTGTTGAAAGTCCATAATAGTAATGGCGCACAATTATATTTCTGAGATAAATTCATTTAATTAAAAATAAATTCAACATTTAATTAAACTTTGACCGTTCATGGCGCTTCTCGTATATTTAGATGATGTACTCTGGTTTTGTTTCTAATCTTATTATTATTATTGTTAAAAACATTAGAAACTATCTGCATAAAATTATAGTACTCGGCTTTCGGTGTTCTTCAACTGATTCTCGGTCAAAGATTTATGCCTGGAAGCGACATAAATCATTTCTGCCAACCAACCTCGGTCGCAGTTTTATCAAGTGGCGAGATCGTCGTTGCTGACGGATATTGCAACAATAGGATAGTACTGTTTGATAAAAGGGGCAATCCTAAATATGCTATCGGCGAAAGTACGTTTAATAGTAATATATAGTGTTAATAATATAATTTGTCTTAAACTTTTGTTTATATTAATCCTTAAATGAGGATATCCTTATCGCACGCACGCACGCACACACGCACGCACGTACGCAGACACACACCTTGTAGGGATGTTTCGTACTGTAATGTAGCTGGGGAAAAAGGCAGAATACTATGTCTGTGAATTTCGACAAGATTTTCACACAAATCTAACACCAAATAATAACTTTACACAAATTCACTTACATTTTATCGATTTACTAACGAATTTATCAGTTTGTTATTATTAATCACTACCGATTAATTAATTAGCGATTGAGAATTAATCCAAGAAAGAAATAGATTACAATAATCAATAATCAAAGGCTTATTTCCTCTTTTTATAAATTATATCGCGTATCAATGCTTTCACGGATTTATTCACGCACTTGATTGATCTTTACATACGAATCTTTTACATACAAATCGATAAATCATTCCCGATTAATCGTATAATATTATTACACGCCTATAATATTACATGATTAGGAATAGAGTTACAAATTTTAAAATAAAACTCTTAAAGATCTCTTAGAACTTACTGACTTAAGACTGTAGTTTTAAATGTAATTCTGGAGCAGCCAAATTGTAGGGACATTGCAGTTCAATAAAAATCTCTGAATTTATTGAACAGAATCAAAAATCCTTTTACAACATTAAAGTAGACGCAAAATTGGATAGTGTTGAACTGAATTTTTTACTAAAATTGAAAAAAGTTAAAAATTTACATTTTTTCAATTCATAGAACTGTCATTTGACGTAAATGTTTCCTTAATATAAAAGTTTTACAGCTCGTATGGACCAAACGACAGTTCAGCGTATTACGTGAACAAACATTATTGAATTTATAGAACTGAGATTAAAAGTTCAAAACAAGATTTTTATTGAACTGCAAATTATGATATGTATTAATGCATCCAAGAATTAATTAGGACGCTTGCATGAAATATCAGAGATCCGGGTTTGATTCCCAACCGAGATAATATTTTTTACAATAAATTCTTTACAGATTTTAAGATATATGTAATTAAATTTGGGGGGATAATTAATTGATTAAAAAGATAAGTCAAATTATTAATATTTCAGATGGATTGTGTTGAAAGTCCATAATAGTAATGGCGCACAATTATATTTCTGAGATAAATTCATTTAATTAAAAATAAATTCAACATTTAATTAAACTTTGACCGTTCATGGCGCTTCTCGTATATTTAGATGATGTACTCTGGTTTTGTTTCTAATCTTATTATTATTATTGTTAAAAACATTAGAAACTATCTGCATAAAATTATAGTACTCGGCTTTCGGTGTTCTTCAACTGATTCTCGGTCAAAGATTTATGCCTGGAAGCGACATAAATCATTTCTGCCAACCAACCTCGGTCGCAGTTTTATCAAGTGGCGAGATCGTCGTTGCTGACGGATATTGCAACAATAGGATAGTACTGTTTGATAAAAGGGGCAATCCTAAATATGCTATCGGCGAAAGTACGTTTAATAGTAATATATAGTGTTAATAATATAATTTGTCTTAAACTTTTGTTTATATTAATCCTTAAATGAGGATATCCTTAGAAGGAAATTCTAAAAACTTCTCTTTTCAGATAAAAATATATTTTTAATACACACACACATATATATATATATATATATATATTCACATTACATATTTAATATATAATTAAGGTTAATGTATTTACAATTTTAGATTGGATTACCTTGAGAATCCCACACGCCTTGACAATTTTGCCAAATGAACAAGTATGTATTGCTGACCGCGAAGATTTCAGAATTGTATGCCTGGATGTAACATTCTCCGGATTGAAACAAAATTCGTATCTTCCTTATTCGATTCATCATCCACAATTTGGTCGAATATTCGGAATTGCGTCGTACCGTAAGTAATTCAGGACAGTTGCAATTCTTGTGTATAAATTATTATTCAACAATAAAAACGAAATCTTCTTTCGGACTCTCTTGATTCAAAAAACAAATAAATTCGTAATAATCCAGGGTAAGTGAGAGTTCAAACAAGGTTGTTGGTACGTAGGTAAAGTGAAGCAGAGTTGTTAAAAAATCCTTTATTCACAAATATTATTCATTCCTCCATCAAAATTTAGTTTTGAACTAATTTTGAACTAAATTTTGATGGAGAAACGAATAATATTTGTGAATAAAGGATTTTTTAACAACTCCGCTTCACTTTACCTACGTACCAACAACCACGTTTGAACTCTTACTTGCCCTGGATTATTAGAAATTTATTTGTTTTTTAAATTATTATTATGGTATTAAAAATAATTCTTTCAATCTCATATTAAAGTCCAAATCGAAACGATATTAATCGGCATAATTAGATTTTAACTAAGCAGCAAAATAAAATTTTAAATATTAGTTTATTAAGTAAAAAAAATTATCAATATTATAATCAAACCTCATTTTTCAACTCTTAATTATTTATTTAAGTAATGTTCTTTATAAACATATTTAAGACTCCTGAGTAGTCGCGGCGACCATGTTGGAATCGTGACGTCATAAGCGAGAAATGACACGTTCATTTTTTTGCGTCCATTTTTCAATAAAGACAATTTGGATAAGTTTTAACGACGAGATCGCTTTACAACATTTATAAGAATGAGCAAAAACTGTACTTTCCTCCCTTGATAGTCGACAGCTGTCGAAACAAATGAAAAATACACTTTTACGTACGAAATTCCAAGATAAGTGTAGTGTTTGCCCATTTTTAAGACCTTCATAAGTACGAAATAAGTTACATTTTCATTAAACATATTATATGGAAATGGCACGCAATATTTTATTGTCAAAACATCACTTTTCACCTATTAATTTGGCCCTTTACCGTAGCGAAGCGTTACAACACACACACAAACCCATGTCTGTGCTCGCCTTCGGCTCCAAAATGAGCATACGGACATGGGCTTGTACTTGTGTATGTAACTATCAGTTTTGCCAGGTCGCCGACTAATTCGGTGTTGCCACCATCAACACGGAGTTTTTGGCTGACAATGAGTATTCAAGAGGCTTAAGAAAAGTTTACATAAAATAAAAGAAATAAAGGAAGATAAATGTCTTTATTACATTGTATGTTGATAATTTCAGGTGGTTTTATTTACGCCGTGAACGGAATGACATTTAAAAACATACAAATTAAAGGTTTCACTATTGATTCCATAAATCGGAATGTGATCGAATTTTGGAGCCCGGAATCTTCAGTAAGTATATTACAATATATTTTATATTTTTTAGAACTCCTATATATTTATTAGTAATTTATTGGCAATTTCTAATATACAGGGTGTTTGAGAAGTAATGAAAAATTCTTTCGCATAGGAGTAGAATGGACTAAATTAGTGATGCACGCAATATTCGAGACATCAAGATTCTTGTCTTGTCTTGTCTCGAAATCAAGACGATATCAAGACAATTGATTTAATAAATTTCGATACGAGACATTATTACTTTTACAAGATCAATATTCTCGGCTCAAGAATATCGAAAATATCGAATATCAAATAAATAAATATATTGGAAATATATCAAATTAATAGATAACATCTAATAGAAAAAATATAGAAATAATTTTAATTACGTTTAGTGGCTTATTATTCATACTTATATAAATGAATATAAATGTTTTCACTGATATATGGAGTATTACTATTTTATATTATAAAGTATATTGTCTATATTATAATCTATATTAATCTATATTGTGTAATTGCAATGAAATAAAATCAATACAATTTTATTATAATATTATAAACTTCTCTTTTTCGCGTCGCGTCGTGACACGATGGACGACGCAACGCGTGACGTCGTGACGTGCTCAGTGGAAACGTACCCTTATGCACGCGCCCAATCGTCTATGCTGCCTTCCTTTTTCCAATTAATTGCGTTCAGCAGAAAGTTTATTTTGCAACTGTTGGAAGTTTTGTTTGCACTGATTGGATTATACTTTTAGATTCAGAAATATGATCTTATCTTAGTAAAAAATCATAAATATCGTTTGTCTCGTCTTTAGTACATTTAAATACTTTTTAAATTTAATACTTCAATACTTTAATATATTTAATACTTTTTAAATTAAAAAATTTTTAATAAAAATCAATATTTTCGATAATATTGAAATCAAGACGAGATTTATTTTTGATCTTGATAACGAGATCAAGACAAGAATTAATTTTTCAATATTTTTGCGAGACAAGACAATATTTTTCAAAATATCGTCTTGTCTCGTCTTCGTGCATCACTAGACTAAATTGAGAAAAAAAGTCCTCTACCATTTTACAATTTTCGCAATAGTTAACGCGAGATATTAATTTATAAAAATATCCAAATTTGCCCGGCCCATCGCCAAATGCAAGCGCGCGGCTGGATACGACCACGTAGCGAGGCGCGCCGCGTGCGTTCGCTATCGCCAGGTACGCGTTGCTTATAACAAGCGGCAATGATCGTCGCTAGACAATGTCCAGGTGGTCGTATCCAGCCGCGTGCTTGCATTTGGCAATGGGCCGGGCAAATTTGAATATTATTATAAATTAATATCTCGTTAACTATTGCGAAAATTGTAAAGTGGTAGAGGACTTTTTTTCTCAATTTAGTCCATTCTATCCCTATGCGACATAATTTTTCATTACTTCTTAAACACCCTGTATATATAGTAGAAAATCAAAGTGACAAATGTTTAATGTATAAGAAGAATATATTATATTTTTTTAGGTTTTTACTATGCCTCATGCCATTGCTGTGTGTCCTTATGGTAGTGCCCTTTATGTCTCAGAAATTGGACCAAACAAAGTATGGAAGTTTGATCTAGTGACCAAATCTAATAACACAGATGTTAAGCAACTAGTATTAAACAGAGAGTGGAAATAATTGATCATTACTTGTAACGTTATAATGCCGCCGCGCCGTTACAGTTACTTTTTGTTTTAACAGACTGGAAACAGCGTTACCTTTTTTTTTATAAAGGTAATGCAGTTACATTTTTTGGCGACGATAACGATTATAGTTATTCATATCACCATTTTTTATATTTTAAATCTATTTATTACAATAATTGTTTATACATTTAGTCTTCAATTTTTAGCTATAATATTCACAATTTGTTCTTACTTTAAGACTGTTTTAAATAACGTTAATAAAATACCATAATATAAATATTAATAAAATACTATAATATAAATACTATAATATAAATTTGTAATTAATTTATGAAGTCTTTAAAATTCCATAAACCTGTTACAGAATTGTATTAACATAAAAACAAACTTATCATGAATACTAATCTCTAAATTTGACAAAAAAAATGATATTACAAAATTGTAATATATTACTTTAAGTCCGATCTACAATTACGTAAACGTAATTGTAGTTATAAGAATTGATCAATTACAGTTGAATATGAGGAAAATATCCAATTGTGATTAAAGGACAACTACAATCATTTACAACTATTTTTACGCAATTATAGATTAAGCTTTATCCCATAAAAAACCTTTTTTTAAAAAAAGAAAAAAACATACGCCAAGTGCATATAAAAGATACTGAACTTCTTGATCAAAAACAGATATGAGATAAATATAATTGACCAAGTGTATTCTTCATTACGCCAGTCACATAAGACAGACCAAAAGTGACTATAATTGTCAACTGGATTATAGTGAAGA